TTTACCTTTTAGTTTATCATATGATTTTTCAATATTTTGTTTGTGTACATTTGTCTGTGTACAATTTTGATGCCAACCTATAGAACATAAGTTCCAATCTTACTGTTCAGATTGATTCATGTGTCCTGAGATATTTTAAAAGGAATTTTCATCAGTCTGGTTTTCATGTATCGAACGTACAGTAACCTTTATATATATTCTTATTTTGAGACAATTGTGAAATATTTGTACCCGAGTTCATTAGGTGTTTTGTTGTAACTTGTAAGGGTTCCAAATTTAGAATGTCAAGTGTTTTGTGGATAACAACAATCTTTGCGTGTCATAGGATTAATGAACTTTCTAGTACTGGTATTATTAAATTACCTCACAAAATGGACTTTGCGTATATGCTGTGTCATTTATCTTTATATGTTGTATCTTAGTTATCTTTATTTCATTTGGATATACATAACACAGAATGTTTAACTGTTAATCCAACCTTATTAACTATTAATTATAAATAAACTAGTATTCGACCTTGTGCATTTGCACAGATGTAAATAAAATTAAATATTATAAGTTATATTTATATATATAATGTAAAAATTATAATTTATATAATTGTATTATATTTCAAACATATAGTATTATAAGATATATTTATAAGTTATATTTATGTATATAATATTAAATTTAGAAATTATATAATAGTATTATATTTTAAAATTTGATCATTGGTTAAAATAAATAGTACACACGATTTGATTGTATACGAATCACTATATTGATTGCATAAAATGCAATAAATATATACTTTTTGTAATTTTGAGTGATCATGACCAATTAATTAGCTGAAAAATATTACATTTATTATAACAATTGCTTATGTGATTTTAAGAAATTTTACTATGACATAAACAAAATTTATTTATTAATAAACAACATCTTCATCATATAAAAAATATTGATTTTAGTGTAAAATATAATTTTATGTAACTTTCATATATTATTTAGTATAAAATATAATTACTAATTTTAATATTAACTATTATATTATTCAATAAAAAATATAATTATTTCAATTAACATAAAATATAATAGTTTTTGTCTTAATTAATCCAAAAAATGTAATGAAATATTTTCTTATTAATGAGATTGGGTGTATTAATGCCACATAAATAAAATTTATTAAGTTCTATTTATTAGGTTTTATTAATGATTTGCCACATAGGTAAAATTTATTAAGTTTTATTTATTAGGTAAAATTTATTGCTTAGCTAGCAATTATATAAATATATAGATTGTCCCATTTATGGTAACTGTTTAATCTTGTTTTTATTGTTCTACAAGATTTCGCTCTTAAGGTTATAATGGAAATGAATGAGGCGTGGGTTGAACTTGTGAAATGATCAATTCTAGCCGACGAACTTTATATCGTCATACGTCCCATAAGATTTTATTAGTCGAGATTTCGTCGCCAAAAAAAGAGTCCACTGAAGATGTTTATCAATTTAGCATTGCAATTCTACTCTGAAATATTTTGATTGTTTCCATTTTTTAGAATGAAGAGATCTTCCTATTTTTATTGTTTTTTGTGTTGCTGATAGCTTATAAACTTTATAATCCCAGCCTATTAATTCCATAATTTTCAAAATTTGCAATTCTATCATTATTCTTCTTACCAATTCAATACATCAGCATTTTAATTTTAAAATTAAATATTGAAAAAAACAAGGCGAACCTTTTAGCGGTAGGAATAAGTGAGCCATGCATAATAATAATAATAATAATAATAATAACAATAATAATAATGCAGGCCAAAAAGGAAGAGAGAAAAAAATATTGTAGTTTAACATAAGAATAAATTTGTAAATGTCCATTTTATCATATTAACTTTCTAGGGAAACAAACACATAAAATAAATTATGATAATAATTTTATCTTGAGTAAATCAAACATAGCAAATGTAAGTTTGCACGATTTTCTACACCTCAATCTTGGACCCAATTATCTAATCTGGTCTCCCTTAACAAACATGCTCTATATATATCTAATTGGATTAAATAACTTAGGTCGATAATAAGAGGAAAAATAGTTTCTCTATTGTAGCCATCTATCGTTTATTTAAAAATAAAATACATAAAATGAGATATTTGAAGTCATGTACATTTTGATTTTGATCATATTTTGATTCCCATCAAATATAAATTGCATGTGCCTTTCTTCTTAATCCCAATATTAAATCAGTGCACATGCGCAAATATAGATACGTATATATTTTTATAATATTTTATATACATTTCTGTACAAAAGAGAGAGTTTAATCTAGAACGAGGTTTAAGTTAAATATAACATCAAAGTAATTCAGATTAATACTCCATATCATCAAAGTAATTTCAATATAGCGGTAATAACTGCCGAGAAAATAAAAAATAAAAAAATAATTGAACATCACTAATTTAGCATATAAGGTCACGAATAAGCAATTTATCACAATATGTGCGGCTTTTGTGCAATATTCCCCAATTATCATCATCAGCAGCAACATCGCCGCATCCCAACCGTTTCAAAATTTCAAAATCTTTGTCAACCAAAACCGCTCTCCCTATCTAAAAAACTTCTCCTCCTCTTCCTCTTTCACTCAATTATCTCTCCTAACAACAACCATAAACAAAAATCCCTAAATAACTCTCCAGATCACAAAAAAAAAATGGAGAAATCTTCAGAAGGAATCGGCATCAATATCTACACCGCCGCCTCCCCTCAACTCGACCCGCCGCCACCGGAGGCCCCTCCATCCGCCGCCGGCCGGAAACGCCGCGCGGTGGCGAGCGGTGTCCAGAAGACCCTGTCAAAGACCTCCCTCCTGGCCAACTTCCTCCCGACGGGAACCCTCCTCACCTTCGAGATGGTCCTTCCCTCCATCTACTCCGGCGGCGGCGGCGGCGCCGGAAACTGCTCTCCGGTGAGGACCCACATGATCTACTCTCTCCTGGGCCTCTGCTCCCTCTCCTGCTTCTTTTTCCACTTCACGGACTCCTTCCGGGGGCCCGACGGCAGGCTTTACTACGGGCTGGTGACCCCAGGCGGGCTGGCCGTCTTCAAGCCGGGTCTTGGCGTGGAGGTGCCTCGGGACGAGAGGTTTCGGGCCGGGCTGGGCGACCTTGTCCACGCCCTCATGTCGGCCCTTGTGTTCCTTGCGATTGCACTGTCGGACCACAGGGTGACGGGTTGCGTGGTGCCGGGCCACGCGAGAGAGATGGACGAGGCTATGCAGAGCTTCCCGCTCATGGTCGGGATAGTCTGCAGCGGCCTCTTTCTCGTCTTTCCCACCACCCGCTATGGGATTGGCTGCGTGTCCCCGTGATTCGGTTTATCTATTGTTATTGTTATTATTACTGTGACTTTTTTTTTTTTATTTAATTTAATGCTTGCTTATGTGTGTGTAAAGATGGAAATAATGTAGGGATGGATGTGTGCTGTTTGTTTCGTTTATTAGTTTTGTGGAGTATATTAATTATTTGGGTAGTTTTTGTGTGAGTGTGAATTGTGAAGGTTATAATAACGTTTGTTGTATTATAGTGTACTATATATATTCGAACTTAATTTCTAGTGTCATGTGAAATTGTGAATTGTGAGATGTCTAATATGTTTGCAGCAAACTTTGTTGGGTTGCACACAGTAAACCAATCGTGTGTCACTTGAAATTTGAAATAGTTTACAAAATGCCTTTCACAAAACAAAACCGTAGCAAAAAGCAACCCCTTTTTCTCTACTGTCTCGTCGGCCCATCTTCCAAGTGGCGCTTCCCTTTCTTTCATTTTAGTGGCGGTTGGTCTGTGTTATTAAAACAATTATAATAAGTAAAGGAATAAATCATGTTCAGTCTTTCTATAAGAAAAAAGACGATAAAATAAAATAATGTTTTAAAGTCTTTTTCACATTAATTATATGATTAATTTTATTGTAATTTCGAATAGTCAACTCTTTTGTTGCAAATATACTAATATTAGTTTTTAAAATATATATATAATAACCAAATAAACAACAAATGGATAGCTCGACCTATAATGACTATCACTTATATATGATTGAATTATATGCACACAAGTAAAATTTTGCATATTCAAGTAAGAAGTTAAAAAATATTTTTATCGATCGAATGACAAAAATGAGAAAACAAAATATATATATAAAAAATACTTAAGTCAATTATCAATTATTATAAATCTATATCTATATAATTACTAGCTGATGCATTTAATAAAACATTTAATAAAACTTATTTTAATTTTCTTCCAAAAAGAGTTACATTTTTTTTAACTAATTACTCACTAATCTGCTAAAACCGTTACACTTTAATATATATTTTTATTATTTATTTTTTGGATCAGTTACTAAATTAATTCTAAATTTGGTAGCAAAATATTCAAATGTGTAACGGCGGCTAATGTTGGAACTTAAAGTTGATTGGCGCATTCAGAGCTGTAACCGCTATATTTGGTTACATTGTTGGAAGGAAAAATATGATTGGCACATTTTTTTTTTTCTAAAAATCAGAAACACCAATAATTTTATTTATTATGTTAATTTTCTTAATATATGCCACAAATATATAAATTATTTTATTCATGTTACTAATGTAAACGTTGCATGGTTAAAATAAAATTTAAATCTCAATTAATTTTGAATGATAAAAATAACTTAAGAAAAAATAATAATTTTTATATGATAGAAGTACATGTCTAATTAATAAATACAAACAAAAACGTGTTTTTATATCTGTGCAAATGCACATGATCAAATACTAGTACCTAATAAATGTGAAAAATGTATGTTTCTTTATGCGTGCTTCCTTTAAATAAGCAAGTTCGAACCGAGTCAAAATATAAAATATTATACTTTCAAGCTGAGCCGAGTCGAGTCAAGCTGTGCACAATTCATTAATTGAAAATTGGAAATTTACTAGGAGGAAATTTACAGTTTTTTTGTGAAGAAGTGGTGGTAATCTTGAATTTATATATAACAAGTCCAAATTTAATTAAATTTTTTATTTTATGCCTACTGTCAATACTGTGACATTTGTTTTTAGAGTAGTAATCAAATCGAACGAGCCGAAATTGAACATTTCGAGCTCGCATTCAATTATCTACGAACACTGAGCCAAAATTGAACATTTCGAGCTCGCATTCAATTATGTACGAACACTAATCTTCTTCGTTCTTTTATTTCACGAGCTAAAATCATATTCTTTTAATTGTTAGTCAAATTTCGAGTTTGTCCGTGCTCGAAAAATTTAGTTAACAAACTTTTTCGAATAATGTTCACGAACGTTATTGAACGTTCTCGAACGAGATCTTGTTCGTTTGACTACTAAACAAGCCTAATTTCATGTCTCGGCTCGATTAAACAAACGAACGAGCTCTTGTTGAACATGAACAAGCTCGAATTAGCTCTGCTCGCGATCATTCGGTTCATCAACAATCCTAGTGAATAGTAACAGGTCCAAAGAAGAGGTAAACTAATTCCTTTCAGCAGTTGATATAATACTTCATGAGTTTATGAATCATCATCACAACATACTTTAATTTCTAGTCATTGCATAATAGTACAAAACAAAAAACAAATAAACACAGTTAGTACAACTTTTTAAGGAACAACTTATGATCATTGTGCCAAAACTCGCTTAATTCAACCGTTTGTTCAACAACCCGAATAGAAGGCAAGCTTACATGTCACCGATCCTCGCTCAAACGATGAGATTCTCTAAAGCGCATCGAATGCTACCTTTAAATTGTCTTCGCTTAAATTACTTAGAATCGAATCTTCATCTAAGGGTAATATTTTCATCTCCTCCAGTACTTGAGAATTCTTCAAGAGATACCTCACAATGTTAAATTCATCGTCTCCAATACACATTAACTTAATTGTTATAGTTCTGAGACTTGATAATAAGCATGTTGGCACTTGATTAGGCTCCATAAAGGTTATCGTTTCTATTTCAATCTGATGACCAAAAAAATAAAAGGTCATTGTTGTGAGAAAGGATAGAAAGAACAAAAGAACAACAATTTAATTAGATTAGCAAAGTCCACTTACAACAAGGGCTTCAAGATTATCAGCAACTTCAAGCAAATGTACTAGCAAATGCCATCCAATACTCGATTGGAGTTCAAGTTTGGTTAAATTATCATATTTTACTAATGAGCCAGCAAACCCTAATGGGAGAACCTGCGAATGCAAAATCAACTTAGAACCACTAAAATTAATTGAATGGAGGCTCAAGAAGAGATTGAGATATTGAAAAATTATGGCATACCTCCTCGCCTCCATAACTCGATATCTTTAGACATTTGACATTACAAAGACAATCAAGAAATTTCACCACATTGGAATAGCTCTCGCTGTTCATATACACGTAGAAATCGTATTGTATGCAAATGCACGCCTCAGCTAAAGAGCTCATAGTTGTCGAAATTGTGATGAGCCCCAAAGGACAATAAAGGTATATAGAGATATCTAAGTGCCTTTGCATTTATTAAAATTTCATAGACAGGGAAATCTGGGGAATTTTCGTAATTATGTACAAGATGGACCGTAAGTGTTTCTAACGAGGGTGAAGATATATTAATGCAGCCTAGTCTTTTTTCATTCTCGATAAAATTATAAGTCATGGTCAACTCGTTGAGCAAAGGACAGCCAGCCGGAAAGCAAGCGAGGAAGGGCTTCATCATCCTCACACTCAGAACAAGCTTTTTGAGGCTGGACAAGTGACGAGACACATTTACCTCCGGAAATACTCATATCAACAATGGTTTTGCAGGTGAAGAGTGGACGAGGGAGAATTAACCTTTCCCCAAACACACTAAGAGCCAGACCAAGATTCAAGATATTACGCTTGATGGCAGCACTAACCCTATGGATGATGTCCGAGGCTTGTGTTCCTTCTTCCTTGAAATCATCGTCTTCACAGAAGTCCAAACAGGGCACATGAGCCCATAGAAACCTCCATCTTTTTTCGAGAACACTTGTCGCCACTGAGATCTTTGTCGGGAGGAAAGAGAGAATGTGGCATATGATGCCGTCGGGCAAGCTGCTAAGCCTTCGACTGAAGAGATCATATTTTGCTCTCTACCCGAAATCTTTTGGCACTTTCCACTCGATTGTCTTGATTCCTCCAGGTGTGAATTCGCCACAAGGGTATTCGGCTTAGCCTTAAATTCCACTACTTCAAACTGCAAAATCATGTGTAAATTAAGAGGCTGTATCATCAATGGCACACAGACGGCATTGAGGATAATTAGCATTTAATAAAATTTATTTAATTTAATTTCTCTCCAAAAGCCGCTATTTTTTATTTATTTAACCTTTCATTTAATTATTAGATAATCAACACATTAATTACTTCAAAATTATAAAAATCATTTTAAACTTTTGATTACTGATAGTTGACCATATAATGTGTTGACCGTATAATGTGATTAGATGTTATTATTGTAGTTACATATAAATTTTTTTTTTTGAAAAATAAAAAACATATTTGAAATTCCTAAATAAATAATAAAATAATTAAAAAAATACATACCAAAATATACATTTCATTCAATCTGATAAACACAATTTAAAATATTTCAATTCTTTTAATTGTAAGTTTTGTCTACAAAAAAAATGAAGAAAAATTATTAATCATTATATGGATACAAATAACTCACAATATTGTATTTACATATGTGCAAATGCACATGATCGAATACTAGTTAATATCATCATTAGAACTTCACATAAAAAAGAAAACTATATTTAGTTATGTGAAATTAAGAAAAAAATTAACTCATTTTAATAACCAATTATACTTAAATGCTTTTTTTCTCCTTTAAAACATTGTAATAATTGGTGCCCTCAAGATTTTTGGGCCCTGGGCGGCTGCCCCGCTGGCCCTGCCCCAGGGTCGGCTCTACTGTGCAGCGCGTACTTGGGTGAGCAACGGTGCGGTTCGTGAAAAACACACTGAACCGTAAAAAAATCGAAAATCGAACGTAACAAAAAATAATAACCAAACCACGCTGCAACTTAGAAAAAATCGAACTAAAATTTCTTCACACTAAAATAACCGAACCAAACTGAACCGCACCGAATTCACGGTTCGGACTCAGTTTTTGGTTTTTCTATACATTTTATTCAATTTGGTGCGGATTGGTGCAAAACTGCACAGAACCGACAAAATCGAAAACCAAAATTATGGAAAACTATAACCGCACCGCACCGCACCGCAATGTAGGAAAAAATTGAACCTAAATCAAACAGAAATTTTTTTATATTAAAAAAATCGAACCGAACTGCACTGAAATGCACGATTCGACTTGGTTTTCGATTTCGGTTCGATTTTGCTCACCCCTAGACAGTGGAGCCGATTCTAGTGGATTTTAAAGTTAAAACTTAAAACCGTATAAAATTGTCCAAATGAAAATTCAACTTACAAAAGTTTCCAGAACATTAATTGCAATTATCCAAAAAGACCTTTTATGTATATTTTGGTAAAACATTTTTTACCCAATGTGTATTTTTTGTCCATTGCAAATGGAGCTGGAAGAGTCCTTGTTGACATTCTCCTGGCATAGTGCTAATAATGGACTAGATCAAAAGGGCTCAATTAAATTCTAGTGCTTCTTCTATTAGTGAAGTTTCTAGAAAAAAATATATATATCAAACGGCGCAATGCACCTTGGGTCGCTACGGAAACAGCCTCCTTGTATAATTACAAGGGTAAGGTCTGCGTACAACTGACCCGCCAGACCCCAACCTGTTGGGAATATACTGGGTATGTTGTTGTTGTTGTTGATAGTATATGTGTATTTGAATATTGCAACTATAAGCATGTTTTGGAAAATACAACCTATATTTTATTAATATTCATGATTTATTTTTTTAAATATATTCAAGATATACAT